GTCTCTTTTGGTCTTCAGACGTTCAGACGTAATGCAGACCCGAGTGCAGACCCTAAAAAAGACGTCTTCAAGACTGTGCTGTCTGGGCAGTGGAACATCTCGTATCTATTATCTATTACTCGTTTAACGGATGTTCATCAGCAACATGACATAAGGTTGGATGGACTCTACCTGAGTTGGTAATCCCACAGCTACAGGACAGTGTAAATACCGACAAACGACGACGATAAGACAAAGCATTTTCTTTACTTTAGGTAACTGAATAACTTGTTGCATGTCAAAACAGCAGCAGCTATTAAAGCTGGGTTGTTCTTGGACATTTCCTTAGCATCCTCCTTCTTTTTGCACACAGTGTTTTTCTCGGCGACATTTGCAGTGTATGCATCTTGAAGCTCTAATTTTTTATTTGCATCACCTTCCCTGTACGACAAACAAAGACTGCATTGGTCCTTCCTGGAATGGTGGAAGGACAGATTCAGTGATTCAAATACTCTAGGGTAAGTATGGTAGCTGCATTTTGGCTGCTCCAGGCTCTCTTCTTGGTACAAGTTAAACATTTGCTCCACGTTTAAGTCGGAATGTAAATATTCTTTTGAAGTCGATTTTCTACAAAAGAACGACTCCATTTTTGGGAACTTTTGTATGTGATCCAGAGTTGAAACTCTCATAAATTCGTCTTTTTGTTTCAAGTTTGCATAATGCAACGCCCCTACACGTTTATCGAACAGAACTATGCCTTCCACCGTTCTCTTGCTTATTGCCGTCCGAACTGCCTTTTCGGAAACTGCCAGTGTGTTCTGAAACGTAGGAAATTTTACAAACTGTTAATGATCTGCCTTTGGTAAACAATAAGCCAAAGTTCTTGTTTTCATGAACTCTGTTGCAGTGCAGTTCTTCTCTTTTTAACATCATTCTCATTGATATGGTATACGACGAACTCCCCCTGTAATTGAAGACTTTGTATATTGTAGAAAGCATGGAATATTTCCTGGTATTCTTCCTCAGTAAACAACTTGCAGCCATAATTTTTACATTTTTGAGAATCACATCGCGGCTTCATGATTTTTTGCGGAACTTGCTTTCTCAAAAAGGGACTCACGTATGCTTTTCCTTCTGTTCTTAGGGTGCGTGCCATCTTTTTCATGTTGTTTTTTCTTATTTATAACTACTGATAACTTACCTATAAAAAAATACCACTGCAATGAAAGGCACACTTAAACTTAAACTCAATATCTTCACTTTCAACAAAAAAATGTAGAAAACCTTGCAGGGTTAACACCACCAGGAAAGGAAGCGAACGAAATGATTATGAATCAATTTATGCTACATAGTTGCCGGTGCGAAGTTATAGCTCATCGGGAGCACATCAGCCAAACATTATTAGTTGGAAATCTGACAAAAAGGCGTAAATTCGTTTCCAGGATATACGCCTCTTTGTAAGATCCTGCGGTTACTTTTATCGTCGCTTCCGCCCATACCAACCACGTTCTAATAGGGAAAATATTACTTATACAATTACGCCCGTTGGTCAGATCATATATATATTCCATAGAGATATTTTCATGGAATAATCTGTATTTTAGAAATATTGTCGCTTACGCCCATTTGTCAGAAAAGCGACATGTACTCGTAATTTTTGTAATTTTCGTAGTTTTTCGTATTTTCCTTAATTGCCGTAATTTTTATAATTTCTCATAATTCTCGTAATTTTTCGTCATTTTCGTCATTTTCCAAAGTTCCGTAAATTTTTATAATTCCCATTATTTTTCGTAATTTCGGTAATTTGTCTTATTAGTTTTTGTAACTTTTCAAAAATTAGTAATATTTATATAATTGACGTAATTTTGGAGTAACTTCGTAATTCTTTTGCGTAATATTTGGCAATTCCCCTAATTTTTGTAATTCCCGCAATTTTTTGTTATTCTGTGATTCTCGTCATGTTCCGTAATTCTTGTTAATTGTTTGCAATTCTCATAATTTTTCATATTTTACGTACTTTATCGTAATTCTCGTAGTTTTGAAATGAAGAAAAATAAGGATAAAATCGCAAAAAAAAACATGAGTCAAAAATTTCAAAAAAAGTGAGTTTAAATTCGCGAAAAAGTAAAATGAAACTCGTGGAAAAATGAGGATAAAGTCACGAAAAGTGAGGATAAAATCGCGGAAAATGAAATAGGAATCGCGGAAAAGTGAGGATAACATCGCAAAAAAAAAGTGAGACAAGAATCGCGGCAAAATTAGATAATATTTACAGAAAGGTGGGTTTATAATCGCGAAAAAGTGGATTTAGAATCGCGGGAAAATAAGTTTATAATCGCGAAGAAGTGAGGGTAAAATCGCAAAAAAGTGAGGCTTAAATCGCAACAGAATGAGGCTAAAATCGCAAAAATAAAGTCAAAAATCGGTAAAAAAAAATCAAAAATTGCAAAAAAAGAGTCAAATATCGCAAAAAAAAAGGATAAAGTCGCGGAAAACTGAAAAGTGAAGATAAAATAGCGGAAAAAATTAGCCAAAAATTGCAAAAAAAGAAAATTTCGAAATTTCTCTATAATGAGTTTTTCACTTTCCTCTTATTCCTGGAAAATTTTCAAAATTTTCTCGTTGCTAGTTTTCCAGGAAAAAATTAAAATATAAGAGGGTGAACTTTGCCTGAAAAAGTCAATTTCCCAGAATTTTTCCTGTAGTGATTTTCTCGAGGATTTTCCACTAGAAAATTTTGAAATTTTCCTATAATTAGTTCCTAGCTCCTCATTTTTCTCTTTCTCCTGGAAAAATTTCACAATGGGCTCTTTCACTAAAATTTAAATACGTAATTTAGGTATAAAATCCCAAAGGAGGGACTATTTTAGGCACATATACCAAAAAAAAATGTTCTACAAGGTTAAATAAGTTTTTTACAGGCATTTTAAACTACCAAAATTTGAATTATTTAAAAACGCGCCGATTTGCTGACGTCGCATAAATATTTTTCATTTCGCTTGTTGTTGCAAAGAGCTGTCCGCCTCTGCTGTATTTATCCTGTAGTAAATGCAGGTAAAGGTTCGAATGCGCTGTTGTCGGTGGTGACTAAATGTAGTGCAACGTAAAATAAATAAATAAAACTAAACATAGAAAATTATATTAAATTGTGTTTAAGCATAATTTCAATAAAAATGTTATAAAATCTTGAATCCATAACTAATTAATTTAACTACTTTTCATGATATTTTGGGAACATTTCAGAATTAAATCTATTACAAATTTTCAATGTTGACAATTAGTGGCAACACGGTCAAATAGCGAGCTGCGACGTCATAGAAATAAATTCTGGGTTTTTATTTGGAGGTATTTCTTTCTTTTCTGTTTTCTCAAGAAGGACTATGAATTTTTCAAAAGTAAAAATACAGAAAATTCTGTTTTTAGTTGCTTTATCCAAATATGCCAATTTCAAAAATTAGTGAAAGAGCCCATTGTCTTTTTGCCAGATTTCTAGAAAAAAATTAAAATGTAAGAAGATGAATTCTCCTTAATTTTCCTAGAGTGATTTTTTTACTGGAAAATTTTTAAAATTTTTCCTTTTCCATATTTGAGATTTCATTCATAAAAAAAAAACAAAGAATCACCCTTTGCCGTTTGTATATGATATTTAGAAACACCCCGTTTAATACGCCGTTAACTGATTTATATATTTGGGACTCCATCTCCAATGATTTTTTAAGAGCCGATATTTCAATGTCACCTTAAGATATAGAATAAACATAGACATTGACAACATTGTCTGACGTCATCGATAACGTAAGAAAGTACGAAAAGTGTAATTTATTTTTGTTTTATATTACTGTTAGGTTGTGCCACTGTAGGTAGTGCTATGGTGGGATGCCGAATGAGAGTGCTAATTTTTGCTTCAGTGTTCATAACTTCAAAAAATGTCAAAATTCGCCTTGTAATACAAGGTATTGTGGGTGAATTGTGTAGGCACTATATTGTGTATCTTTAAACTATTTTTAGGCGTTTTCGTTTTGTGACATTGTCGTAACGAAAACGCTATTATTTGTGGAAGCCATTTCTTATTTAAAAGGCCCTTTATTAATTAATTAATAATAATTATCTGGTTTCTTCAATAATAATCCTGGTAAAACTGAAAAACTTAACCTTAAACAACGATAATAATAAAAGTATATTTTCGATTAACACGGTAGAAAAATATTTTCAGTCTAGTTTAAAAAAAAAAAAAAAATAGAATTTGATTGTGCAAATCTATTTTTCTTTTTCAATTATTATTATTTTTTTGTAATTTTAACAACAATCAACTCTATCTGGAACACACAACACGTTTGTTTTTTGTTTAAATTCATACTGAAAAGTTAAGAGGCTCAATAAGGACACCCTGTATAATAAAAAAGGGCCAAAAAACTTGGGAAATTTTTCTACAATTTAGAAACTTTTCAATATAAATCAAAATAGTTTTGCTAAAAAATGGGGTTTCGCGAGCTGCTTCTGTTATACGCATATTATTCGTTAGAAAAAAATTTAAAATTTTCTCTATTTATAAATAGGGGGGAATATCAATAATTTATTAGAACACCCTGTTTTAATAATGTCAAAATTAATAAAGACAATTTGAGGGCTAACAAGTGTCAATTTGCCCCCAAATGCTAGAGAGGGCGTAAATTGTAAGGTGAGATCAACAACAACTGTCAATTTTGTGTGCATTTAAAGGACAGCTGTCAAAATTCATTTATTTTGACATTATTTATGAATGCACGAAAGCGATTTTTGAAGACCAAAGCTTATGAATGAAGTTTTCGTTTTGTATAAAAGAGATAAAATATATGATTGTAACGAGAAAGAGAAAAGTAGAAAATATAAATTTTTCAAATTTCATATTTGTAGTGTGACGTCATTACAGATGTTTAACTGTTTTTTTTTTCAATGTAATCCTAAAATGACAAGATCTCACCCATCAAAAGTATATTATGCCCATTAAGTACATACTATTAACCCTCCCGGATCGCCATTCATCAATGGAACCGTTTCCTTTTGACATTACTCTTACCCTTTTTAAACCCTTTTTGCTTCCTCTTTTTTCCTCCTCCACTAAAACTGGTAATCTCATCACCCAAAGTACCCAAAGTTGTCAGTTGACGGTTGCGGTGTTGCTCATTTTTGCTGACTGGTAATCTGGTCAGGTATTCTTCTTCGTAGTGTTGACGTTCTTTTTGTTCTTTGGAGAGGATTTGTTGAGCTCGGCTGCCTTGGGAAACTTCCAAAGGAGTGTCCAGGTATTCTTCTCGCAGGTCTTGGATGATTGATGAGGACAGGGCGAGTTTTTTCGTGCGGTCTTGGAGACGTTTCGATTTTTCTTGGGCTGATTCCGCACCTGGAACAATCGGAAATATTTAGTTTGGCCTTTGATAAGGAAGTCTAGCGAACAATTTCTGGAAATTTTAGCTCATTTGGACATATAGTTCCAGAAATAAAATCGTGTTAAGTAATTTGGGGTGATTTATCAATTTTTTTGAGTGCCTTTTTTCATAGATTTCGGCTTCAAATCTGAGAATAATTTAGTGTATGGAGTTTGGGGGATGTTGAATGACCATTAGGACACAAAATCTCAACAGAAAAAAAATTGAAATTTCATCGTTTTAGTAAGAAGGACCTTATGATTTAGATTTTGGAAAACTTTCAAAGGTCATAACTTTTTTTCTATTATAGATAGAAAGCTGAAACTTTCACTGAATTTTATCCCAATCAAGGGACTACAATGCCTAAAAATTTCAGTTCATTTGCACTTATAGTTCCTGAGATAAAATGGTGTTAAGCAATTTGGGGTGATTTATCAATTTTTCTGAGTGCCTTTTTTTATAGATTTCGGCTTCAAATCTGAGAATAATTTAGTGTATGTAGTTTGGGGAATGTTGAATGATCATTGAGACACAAAATCTCAACAAAAAAAAATTTGAAATTTCATCGTTTTAGTAAGAAGGTACCTACCTTATGATTTAGATTTTGGAAAACTTTGAAAGGTCATAACTTTTTTCTATTATAGATAGAAAACTGAATCTTTCACTGAATTTTATCCCTTTCAAAGGACTACAATCCCTAAAAATTTCAGCTCATTTGCACTTATAGTTCCTGAGATAAAATTGTGTTAAGCAATTTGGGGTGATTTATCAATTTTTCAATTTTTCTGAGTGCCTTTTTTTATAGATTTCGGCTTCAAATCTGAGAATAATTTAGTGTATGGACTTTGGGGGATGTCGAATGACCATTAGGATACAAAATCTCCACAAAAAAAAATTAAAAATTTCATCGTTTTAGTAAGAAGGTACCTACCTTATGATTTAGATTTTGGAAAACTTTCAAAGGTCATAACTGTTTTTCTATTATAGATAGAAAGCTGAAACTTTGACTGAATTTTATCCCTTTCAAAGGACTACAATCCCTGAAAATTTCAGCTCATTTGCACTTATAGTTCCTGAGATAAAATCGCGTTAAGCAATTTGGGGTGATTTATCAATTTTTCAATTTTTCTGAGTGCCTTTTTTCATAGATTTCGGCTTCAAATCTGAGAATAATTTAGTGTATGTAGTTTGGGGAATGTTGAATGATCATTGAGACACAAAATCTCAACAAAAAAAAATTTGAAATTTCATCGTTTTAGTAAGAAGGTACCTACCTTATGATTTAGATTTTGGAAAACTTTGAAAGGTCATAACTTTTTTCTATTATAGATAGAAAACTGAATCTTTCACTGAATTTTATCCCTTTCAAAGGACTACAATCCCTAAAAATTTCAGCTCATTTGCACTTATAGTTCCTGAGATAAAATTGTGTTAAGCAATTTGGGGTGATTTATCAATTTTTCAATTTTTCTGAGTGCCTTTTTTTATAGATTTCGGCTTCAAATCTGAGAATAATTTAGTGTATGGACTTTGGGGGATGTCGAATGACCATTAGGACACAAAATCTCGACAAAAAAAAATTTGAAATTTCATCGTTTTAGTAGGAAGGTACCGTAAAATGAGGTGTCTTCGGACAGCGCGGGTGACTTCGGACGGCAGGTAGCGCTCGCTCTTTTCTGGCTAAAGCTGACAACCCTGTTTGTTGAGCCGGGTGATTTCATGGGAGAACTTTGTCTGCCAGTATGCCCATGACTACTGAGAGGATTTGTTGCGGCAGCGCGTAAGTATTTACGATGTATTTGAAATTTTGTAACGGCCACTGATTTAACGGTTTTTGTAATATCGAAAAAGTAATCACTGTACGATTTTTACCTGTTATTACTCGAACTTTTGGTTTATGTTTTATTGAAATATGATGTTTAAATAATGTTTGTACCAAATTAGAACAAAAAAAATAGCTGTCGTTTTTTTTTTACAGAGAAATAACCTAAAAGTCAACCAAATCGAGGGTGACTTCGGACAATGGGGCGGGTCTACAAGCGGGCTCTGGGTGCCCGAAATTACATAAATTATGACCCAAAACAATTAGAAAGGGCAGTTAGAGATGTCAGAGGAGGTCAATTAACTGTGAGGCAGGCATCTGACCGCTACTCTATTCCAAAATCAACAATCCACGACAAAATTAAAGGCACACACACAAAAACACATGGAGGGCAGACGGTTCTATCACAAGAAGAAGAAGGCCAATTTGTTGAAGCTGTATTAGTTTCAGCAGAGTGGGGTTTTCCGCTGACGGAATTTGATATTCGGCAAATTGTGCAGCAATATGTAACGAGGCAAGGAAGAAGGGTGAGGCAATGGAAAAACAATCTACCTGGAACTACCTGGGCTAAAATGTTTCTTTCAAGACATAAAGTCCTCACTACCAGATTGACTCAAAATATCAAGCGAAGTAGGGCTCAGGTTACTGATGCGACAATTAATGAATATTTTCTGGAGCTACAAAAATCAATGGAAGGGGTTCCAGCTCAAAACATCGTCAACTACGACGAGACAAATTTTAGTGACGATCCCGGAAAACCTAAAGTCGTCTGCAAACGAGGATCCAAACACTGTGACCGGATCATTGATTCCTCAAAAACCAATATTAGTGTAATGATGGCTGCCTCTGCTTCTGGTGAACTCCTACCCCCGTTTGTGGTGTACAAAGCAAAGCACAGATATGAAGAGTGGGAACAAGACGGGCCTCCTGGTAGTCGCTACAGTATTAGCAAAAGCGGATGGTTTGAGTCTACGACGTTCGTGGAGTGGTTTCGCCAAATAGCAATGCCCTATTTTAGGCATAAAGAAGGCAATAAAATTTTAATAGGTGATAACCTTTCAAGCCATATCACTTTGGATGTCATACAGGAGTGCCAAAGACACGACATCAAATTTATATTGCTTCCTCCAAATTCAACGCATTTATGCCAACCTTTAGACGTTGCATATTTTGCACCATTAAAGAAACATTGGAGATCCATACTCACAGAATGGAAAATGAAGAGAAAGGGACCATTCCAAAAGTCTGACTTTCCTCGACTGTTACAACAGGCATTGGTTTCAATGAATGCTACCTCAAGTCAAAATATTTTGTCCGGATTCCGTGCATGTGGAATTTTCCCATATAATCCAGAGGCTGTCTTGAAACGTTTACCTCGTAGAACTAACTTACCCGTAGAAAATACTCCGACCCAATCCTCCTCGCCATCAATGGGGAGCCATGTCTCTGACACCTTATTGGATTTTTTGCAAAAAACAAGATCGCCAGATGTTCGTCCTAAGACTAGAAGAAAGCGCATAAACGTTAAACCCGGGCAACTAATTCTACCTGAAGATGTTCCACAGAAAGACGATCCTAAACAATCTGATCCAGGTCTCAAAAAAACAAGCAAGAAGGACATCAATGAAGACCACAACTCGTCGGATTCGGACTTTATTCCCACGCGCCCGTTGAAGCTAACTATAACAAAACGGAAGACTGATAGTAACTTAACAAAAAGAAAGACTGATAACTTAACAAAACGAAAGACTGATAACTTATCCTCTGATTCAGAAGATGAGAGTAACTTAACAAAACGAAAGACTGATAACTTATCCTATGATTCAGAAGATGAGGTTCCCTTGCTGTTGCTCAAGAATAAGAAGACAAACCAAAATACTGACACGTGCGATAACTCAGTTCCTGAAGTTGGCAAGTTTGCTTTAATAAGAGTGCCTTTAGCTTATTGTTCTAGATATAAATATTATATTGGATTGATTGTAGAAGATCTGAGAGAACCCAATGCAACTTCACCATATCTAGTAAGATATATGAGAAAAAAAAAAGGAAATGATGATCAAATATTTTTCTATTTTCCGAGAATAGATGACGAGAGTATTGTTCTGGTCTCAGATATCGTAAAAATTTTAGATCCAGTTCGTTTAAGAAGAGACCGATATTTATTTTCAAATTTACCTGATGAAATAACTTTAGAGTAGGTTGACTACCTATTTTATTTTTGCATTAACCATATTTTTCTTTGTTCAAATCTGGAAATTTTCCATTAAGAATGTTATGTTTTATTTTTTTATTTAGAATTTATATTTCCTTTTATGTTTGTTTGTATTTTTTATTTTTATAACGATTTTGATTTATAAATAAACGTTTCAAAAAATGAAAAAAAAAAAAAAAAAACAAAAATAACAACCCAAACTAACCCAAAATAACCCAAAATAATTTTTTTTTAGGCTGGAAACAATTTTTTTTTTTTTTTAATGTCCGAAGTCACTTTAAAACGCGTCTAAAAATAGATTTCAAGCAATTTTAATGGGTGTCCGAAGTCACCTCAAAAATGGAGGTGAGTTCGGACAGCAAAAAGTCAAAAAAATAAAAATCCAGGGAGGGGGTAAAAATTTAAAAAAATTGGGAACATATATATGGATAGTGTGAGCATCTACTGTATTTTTTTCAAAAGTCAGAAAAATCAAATAAGCTCGGTATGCAGAAAAAACATGAAAAATCGTCCGAAGTCACCTCATTTTACGGTACCCCCCTTATGATTTTTTTGGAAAATTTTGAAAAGTCATAACTTTTTTTCTATTATAGATAGAAAGCTGAAACTTTGACTGAATTTTATCCCTTTCAAAGGACTACAATCCCTGAAAATTTCAGCTCATTTGCACTTATAGTTCCTGAGATAAAATCGCGTTAAGCAATTTGGGGTGATTTATCAATTTTTCAATTTTTCTGAGTGCCTTTTTTCATAGATTTCGGCTTCAAATCTGAGAATAATTTAGTGTATGTAGTTTGGGGAATGTTGAATGATCATTGAGACACAAAATCTCAACAAAAAAAAATTTGAAATTTCATCGTTTTAGTAAGAAGGTACCTACCTTATGATTTAGATTTTGGAAAACTTTGAAAGGTCATAACTTTTTTCTATTATAGATAGAA